GGTGTGAGAGCGACTGGTGTGTCCGGGTGTTTTCAGCCGGCGGGCTCTGCCCCCGAAGGCGTCTGGGCCCTTTTCCACCGTCTGTCGTTCAGTGTTGCTTCAGCTGAGACAAAAGCTTTGTCTCTTTCTATGCTTTAAGGCTCTGAAAACTGCCATTCTCAAACTGTAGCTCCTACAATTTTGTCATTGTCACTTAAATCGCAAATCTCGGATTATAAACCCAGTGTGCGATGACTGCAATTTGCTGGAGTGACGTCCTCTTGGCTGGCAGCGCCCGTCGCCTGCCGGGTGGGCAGGGCAGGGCAGGTGCCTGCGGTGTGAGCCTGGGGAGAGGCGTGTTTGGCAAGGGCTGGGATGATGCTGAATGCCACTCTTCACCTAATTGCATCCTTAAAGAAAACGCCAAACAACAGTGTGGCTCAGGGCTGTTCCCAAGAAGGAGGACTGTGGGACTGACCTTGCCTTGCAAGGCTGAGGTTTGCTCAGAGAAATTCGGGAGAGCCAGAGCTGGCCTAAACTTTAAGCCCAGGTCTGGGAGGATGTCACCCTGGTGGTACCCTTGGTGGGAGCCTTTGTGCTGGTACCAGGGCTTCCTGCAGCTGGGATTCAGTCTCTCACCTGACCCCTCGGTGTAGCTTTGGTCGTGCAAAGGCCTCAACAACCCAGGCGTGACTTTTTCCCAAATCCTTCCCTGAGACGGGACCCTCTGCCTCCCCCCTCCAGGCGTCACCATGAAGCTGATGGATGAGGTCGCTGGGATTGTGGCCGCCCGCCACTGCAAGACCAACATCGTCACCGCCTCGGTGGATGCCATCAACTTCCACGAGAAGATCAAAAAAGGTTCTGGGGGGGATGGTGGGCACTCCGCTCTCCCACGGTGCCACGTCCTGGCTCCCTTGGGTGCATGCTCGGGACGCACTGGCAGAGAAATTTAGTCCCTGTTAGACTTGTCCTGTGCCGAGAAGCTCTGCTTAATACATGGATTCGGCATAAAATACGCGGGACCCCTTGCTCCCTTCCTCTGAGCAAAAGCGTGGGCTGCTGCTTAACCGGCCCCTCTCTGCTCCGCAGGCAGCGTCATCACCATTTCGGGGCGCATGACCTTCACGAGCAATAAATCCATGGAAATCGAAGTCTTTGTGGATGCCGACCCGTTTGTGGATGAGACTCGGGAGCGGTACCGTGCCGTCAGCGCCTTCTTCACCTACGTCTCCCTGAGCAAGGAGGGGAAGCCCCTGCCTGTCCCGCAGCTGCTGGTAAGAGCTCTCCCTGCCGGGCTGCGAGCTCCTCCCAGGGCAGCCTCCAGCTGTGTTTTTTGTCCAACAAATCCCCTTCCTTTGAATTATTCAGCAGAAAAATACGAGCGTGAACGAGCCGCTCCAGAGCAGGCTTCAGGGTTGGGATTTTAAAAAATTTCTATGAAAATTGCCGATGTGGAGATCGGGGTTGAGGACAGGCTG